TCTTCGAAGATGCAGCCGCTGTAGACGACTTCTTGGGTGAAGCGAGTAGTTTGCAGAGTCTGGTGCAGGCCGTTCTCACACCTGGAGAAGATCGCGTCATGATACGTGGGCTGTGTGCGGCGCTACTGGGAGTTGTATACGAGTTCTCAACCAGAGACTCCCCTGTGCCACGGCGCGAACTTCAACCCGTGCTCATGTCAAAGCTCGGCCGCGACAAGTATCTTGATGCTATTACCGGATTACGGCGGCACCCGCTCGTGCGTGACTTTGAAGTCTTGCCGAAGACTGGGGGTGGAGGGGGAAGTCTACCCGAGATCTTCTTCGACGAGGCTTTTGTGGACTTTTTGAAAGACAATTTCAGCAGGCTATCGAGAGCGATTGACCGTAACCCGAATATTGAACAGCACCAAAGTCACGACGGTGTCGACCGAGATGTAGTCGATGCGCTTCGTGGGGAGAGTAACGAGAAAGAGCAAACCATCCAAGAACTACGCGCGCAGCTCATGACGCTCGAGCAGAAGATTGATCAAGAACAAGCTGAACATCGCAAGACTCAGCAGTCCGCCGAGGAGCAACGCAGTACGCTGAAACGTATCAACGACAAGTTGCACGACGATATCGAAAAGGAAGCCGCGAAGAAGGATCGTGAGCATAGGCAAGCGATGCTAGAAACGGAAAACAAGTACAATCTTCAGATTGTCGCTTTGAACAACAAAGTACAACAGACCAGCAAAGACGCCAATCTTGCTGTCGCAAAGGTCAGGCAAGAGTACGAAGAGCAGCTCCACGACGCACATCGAACGCGCACCGAGCTAGAGCGGAGGTTGGGTGCGAGCGAGAAGGCGAGACAGGAGGCTGTCGAGAATGTGAAGGGCTTGCAAGAGACACTATTACAAACACGGGCTGAGGTATCGACCATTAGCGAAACTCTACGCAACGCACAGAGTCATGTGCAAAACAGCGAGGCGCAGCTGCAATTGCTGAATGAGGAGAAGGAGCGGGTTGTCAAGGAAAAGGAAAGCCAGATCAAGCAGCTGGAAGAAGAGATGGAAAGGCGACTCTCAGAAAAGGATGCGCGACTCTTGGAAGTAGAGGCCGAACACGAAACCGCGATTCAACAAGCCGGATCGGAAAAGAGTGGCTTGCAATCTGGCTTGGAGAAGCTGAAGAAGGAGAATCAAGACCTCAAGACGAAAGCGCAGGATGCGACGTGGAAAGTTAAAGAGGCAGAAGAGAAACTGCGGAAAGCTGAAGCAACTGCCAAATCGACGGAAGATAAATTGCGCAAGGCGGAAGCTAGCGCCAAGGCTGCTGCTGCTGCTGCTACCTCTCAAAAGGGTGGCAGCGCCGGCGCCAACAACAACAAGGACAAAGAGATCAAGGAGCTGAAGGACAAATTGAAGAAGGCGGAGGAAGCGGAGAAGGAGAAGGCGACAGAGTTGGAGGATTTGATCATGGTGCTGAGTGATTTGGAGGAGAAGAGATCAAAGGATAAGGTATGTTCTTCTCTTTTCATTTCATGGTACCTATTGCTGCGAAAGTCGTGTAGTGTGGATGATGGTTGGCTAACGAACGCCAAAACAGGAACGGCTCAAAGCTCTTGGGGAGGAAGTGTCGGATGATGAGGACGAGGATGAGGATGAAGATGAAGATGACGACGATGAGGATGACGAAGAGAGTGAGGACGAAGATGACGATGAGGAGGAAAAAGAAGAGGAAAAGAAGAAGTAGGATTGATGGGACTAAGATGCCCAACTTCAATTCTCATGACTTGATATGTGCGCCTCATTCTGATTTTGCTCTTTCCTAGCTAAGGGAGAAAGCCAGCGAGTACATTGTGCTGACCTACACGGCTTGCTAATATTCTTCTAGCGATGTCTTTGGGTTCGTTGGAAACTATAGCCATGTGGTACGAAAGAGCTTGTTTTCAATGAAGTTGTACCCTGGCTAGCTATACCACATCATAAAGGCGTATGCGATATCCTGCACTAACATGGCAAAACAATATTGTAGCGGCAAATTGAAGCCATTATCATCGCCCTCACAATATTCCCACGTCTGCTGACTTCTCCAACCTTCTATCCACAAGGGCATTCTACTACTTGCTTTCGGAGCCATTCTGCGATGACGAAGCTATCCCGCCGACTCTTTCTCCCCCATTCCTATACTATCACCACCATCTTCGACACCATCAAGAAAGGACAGAAGTAAACACCGCAAGTCTAGGAAGAGTTCTATCATGGGTTAGAGCGTATACATGGGCTTAATGATAGAACAATGTCAACAAATTTAGAGTTGTCTGAATATGAGCTAATGTTTTCGTCGATTAGAATACCATGGCTCCCCCGTCCACGATAATGTCTGTTCCATTTATGTAACGTCCCGCGTTACTACATAGTAACACCAAGGGCCCCGTCAGTTCCCACGGATGACCCATACGACCCATCGGATTCCTCTCATTCCAGCTCTTGCGCGCTCTAATCAAGCCATCACCGTCATTGAGTATCGTGTCCATGTAGCCCGGACTCAAGCAATTAACTCTAATGCCATAGCTACTCCACTCAGCAGCCAAGCTCTTCGCCAGCGACAGCAACGCCGTCTTGGACGAGTTGTATGCACATTGCGGCTGCGGGTAATTTGTATGATGGGCAGAAATACTCGCAGTAAAAGTGATGCAGCCTCCGGTCCCTTGAGCGCGCAATTGCTTCGCAACGGCCTGGGCGCAGAGAAAAGAGCCGGTGAGATTGATGTCGTGCGTGCGCCGCCATTCGTCGGCAGCCATTTCTATGGCGTGTGTGCAGCCTACGACGCCCGCGAAGCAGCATAGCATGTCGATACTGCCTAGCACCTTGACGGAGCTTTCTACGGCCGATGCAATGGCTTTCTCGTCGCGCACGTCGACGGCTTCGGTCATGATGCGCGCGTGGGGAAACTTGGCGTGGAGTTTCTTGACGCTTTCGAATGCTTGGTCGGGGTTCATGTCCCATAGGGCTAAGCCTGTGGCTCCGTGTTCGAGGAGCGCCTCCGCGGCTTCAAGTGCAAGTGTACCTGCGCCACCAGTGACTAGGACGTGATTGGTTAGCTGGACGTTCAAGTGTATAGTGCATGGGGTGGAACAGGCGAGTGTGCTACCCTGCAGGCGTTCACGTACTAACTGCGTTTCCCTTGACCTGGAACCTATACTGAGCTCTTTGTGCGGTAGAAAGGTCGTCTGGGGGTGGTTTGGGCGCTGTGAGAGGGTTGTCTGCTGTTGACAGTGTCATCTCTGGCAGCTGTCGATTGACGAGTGCAGCGCGGTCATCTCCGTCTCCTGGCATTCTGGCTAGGTTACTAATGTGGTGAAGCTTGATGCGTATGTATAGAGAGCTTCTTGTTATTCTCTAAGCGCGCAATACGGATCTTGGGCTTCTTTATGAATTTCTTTCGGACGACAGCAGTCCGCATGTACAGATGGTCGGTGGAGCTGGCCCAGCCTCGAACATGACGTCGCGAGCTCTGCCCCACTAACGTTCTTTCACCCCACCAGAGCCCGAGGCAGGTTTGCCGAGCGTGGGGTCTCTTGTCTCTACAGCACCAGCAACACGTCTGCGACACTTCTACAACACCCCTGATATCGGCGTGGCTATTCTTCACCTGCAGTTCATGGCGGTATTCCGCAAAATTATGGCATGGAAACTCGGAGATTGCGATGTCCGTATGGCCCTTAGCAAACAGATTAGGTGCATCATTAGAGAAAAGGAGTCTTATGGCTTCCATGTCAACGAACAATAAAAGTATAGTGATAAGTGTAAACATTTTCCTGCGCCTTGTTTGCAGCTCGAAGCAGCAATAGCACACGTTCTCGCACAAATGCGCGCCAGCTATGCGTTGCACATAGCCGATACTCTCATTCGAAGCATTTATCCAGCACAGCTCTCAACAATTATGAAATCTTCAACCCAATCCACCGAGTGGTCACTCGAAAAGAACCTCGACCGAGATGGATGCAACCATCTTTCGACAACTGCAATTTCCACTCTAGAACTGATAATCATTGAGCAAGAAGCATAAAAAGATCAAACCAACTTCAAGGATGGCGCGCCAGACACTCAAGGATAGGGACTACTAACCCCACCAGCTTACCCTCAGAAGGTCCTTCACAGTTGTCGTGAAGGAGATGAAGAGGGCCGAGATGAAGAGAATGACAGTGGGACACCATACGTGGGTGGTGGTTGTGAGCCCGGGAAGGGATACGGTCTCCGCCAGTGGACCCGTGTCAATTATGACCGTAGCCACAGAGACCCTGGATGCGATTATATGGATCGACTAGAAATAAGTCGGGAGCGCAAGACTTCGCCAAGAAAATTGTGTAGTATGCCTTTGCAGCCGTAGTGCTCCATGGCATAGGGACGCACAGGAACGAGGCGCGCAGGAGCAGCACGTGTAGCTGTCGTTACCCACAACGCGCGATGAGAGATACTTCATGTTATAAAACCGTACTGCTTTCTTGTATCGGCGATCTGTTGCACGGTTTGGACTGGAGAGGTAGAGTTACCTAGGCGCCTTCGATGTGTTATATCTCGCCTTTCGGAGCGAGCCAGCGTCAATGTCAGCAAGACAGCGCAATGGTCATCTACAGCATCGATCAAGATAGACTATCTTAATAGGCATCGTTGTTTTGGATATATAAAGACCCTAGCTACCCTGATTCATCGCGCTATGCATGTAAATGCGGGGTCTCCACATAGTGTATCTTCCCGCAGTGGCAGCTCGGTCCGCGCCATGAAAACATCCGACACCTGATTTACACCATTCAATCAAGACCGGCAATCCTGGATCTTTACCTATCTATTGACTTCCTTTCCTTGGTGCATAGAATGGCAGATGAAAGCAGCCTGCTCAGACGAGGTACAAAAAGGGCAAGAACACGACACGGGTTAATCCCACCCTCGACATGCCAAAACTGATAATAAGACTAACGCCATCTCCAGATGCATCAACTGCAAAGCAAAAAGACGCAAATGCGACGAAGCAAAACCCGCCTGCGGCCGCTGCAGCAGCAGGAGCGAAAAATGTGAATGGGCCTCTCGCCTCACCTTCCGGGCTGAAAACGCTCTAGGCGTCGAACCATCATCGCTGCATCGCCCGCCGGGACGACCACCCGCGCGTTTCAGGATCAAAGACGTAACCGCAGAGGTTATACGCGACTACCAGCACGATGATCCAGGAGAGGATCTCGATGTGTCGGATCAGTCTGATGGTCAGCAAGCGACTGCTTCCAACGACGTGTCGCCGCCTACGGTGCACGACCAGGGTACACCATATCAGGAACATTTCAATTGGCAGCACAATCCGACTTTCTCAGCTGCAGAGCCTGATCTTAATAGTCTCCGGTCTACTGATTGTGTTCCTCTGCCCACTCCAGGAGATCTCGAGTCCATTTGGCACAGTCCTGTCGCCACTACGTATCTAGACGATAGCGTATTCCTGCCAGGCTCAGCATATCTCGATGCGCATTCTACCTTTCGAAACCACCTTATTCAGGAAGTAAGATCCAATGTGCCGACTCGACAAGTCACGCCTGATCCTGCACGCATCGAGCATGTATGGGGAGTCAATGCGGACTACAACCCAGACACCGAGAGCCACATCACAGAGATCCCCACTCACCTCAATGCAGTCGAAGAACAAACTCTCACAAACCCCTCCTCAGCCCCCCAGTTATCCCCAGAAGAAGAATTCGCACTCTGGAAAAATTGGTTCGATGAAGTCGCACCTTGGATCGATAAATTCGATCCTGAACGCCATTTCCGACATACACTTCCCGTTATAGCGCGGTCTCATGACCATTTGAGATACTCCATACTTGCGCTATCAGCACGCCAGATAGAGCGGAAGAACAATAGTAAACATACGGAGAGGAGTTTATCTCTGTACCAAACAGCCATTCAACTCGTGTTACCACAGCTACACACGCGCAGCACGCCCGTAATAGCATCATGCGTTGTTCTCTGCGTACTGGAGATGCTGAGCTCGTCGGCAAAAGCCTGGCACCAGCATCTCGATGGGTGTGCACATCTCTTGGAAGCTGTGGGCATCAATGGCTTCTCAGGCGGTGTCGACCAAGCGCTCTTCTGGTGCTTTGCGAGGATGGATGTTTGTGGTGGGCTTATCGCATCTTCCAAAACGCTTATACCGGTTGAGCACTGGGCTGACGGTATGGATCTTGACGGTGATGTGGAGCGCTTCCGAGCGGACGGCGGATACAACGTCCATGCGTGCGAAGCAGTGTATCTTGTTGCGCAGATACTCGATTTACTGTCTTTCCATTCAAATCTAGCTGGGAGGGTTGGCGCTACACCGCCTACATGCGCAGACGCAGATGAAGCATACACAGCGCGATGGACTCGCCTCTGGTCTCACGTCTCTGCATGGTACGCCGCCCGCCCCGCAGAAATGCTACCCATATCTTGCTTCTCGACCTCCGCATCCCCTTTTCCGAAGATCCTGTACAGCAACCCGGCCGCCATGTCTGGTAACCAACTCCATCATACGGCGTGTATCTTGCTGCTTCGACATAAGCCTTCAGGCGTTATCGTCACACCCAAGCCCAACTCCATCTTCTGGCACGCGCGCCAAATCTGCGGGATATCGATTAGCAACGATGATCATGCTGCGTGGACGAATGCGATACAGCCGTTGTGGATCGCAGGCCAGTGGATGAGTCATGAGAGTGAGCAGAAGGCGATTTTGCAGCTGCTGGAGAAGATTGAGAAGCAATCGGGATGGAGTACGAAGTGGAGGGCTGAGGATCTGAAGGAATTTTGGGGATGAAAGATGCAATTGGTGACTACTGTAGCCTTGTTGGGTCAGCCTTGTCTCTTCGCGCGCGCGTGATTGTGTGGGTTGAAAGGGTTCCACGCTGTCTGCTGATGTATGCGCATGTGTTGTCATAATGCACAAGGCTTCCAATGAGTGTTGATGCAGTCGGATGCAAGAGCTCAGCCTTGGAGCTCAGCGCCTATTCTTGAGAGCCGCTCGTGTTCACGGGTTTGGCAAAATCTTTTGGCCCCCCATGTTCAGCCTCATAGCCTTGTGTATTGAGATAAAAGCTTCTTCGTTGCTGAGAATAGCGGCAGAAAGTTATCCACAATCCAGCATCGATCTAGCCTTGCTGCAACTAGCATCTGTCAGTATGGGTAACAGTTTTGGTTTTCTAAAGAACGTATCTGGAAGTCCTTTCCAATTCGCCGTGCTAGAGGCTTGCCAGGCTGAGAACATCAATTTGACCCAGGCTTGCAACCTAACGTTCAGCGCAAATCACGAGCTTCTTTCAATCGGTAATGTGACGCGGGGAAAGATGGTGCCGCAGCCTGGAATAGCTGGCATTGGAGTGAGTCGAAAGAGGCACCAGTAAATATAGTGCTAACACTGCCGGATATGGTTCGCAACGCTGCCGTTCTTTGTTGTTGTAATAACTGCTATGTTGTACACATTCCTCATATTCGTGGCAAAGAAAAGATTCTCGTAAGTATCCTAGGATTATGGTCGTCAAACAGAACTAAGCACTGATACGCGCAGTGGATCCAACCTCTTGGCGTGGTTTAGAGACAAACGTAGCAAAGACCAGGATGCCAACACCACAAACACAGAGCCGTCTTGGGAAGACAAGATGCGCGCAGTAGGTCGAACCTTCGTCTTGAGTGTTGCAGACACTCAGATCATCTTTGTTGGAGGATTCCTTCTCGGTTTCGCTGGCCAGGGCAAGTGTAAACTGACGAGCTACCACTTCACTGCATCGGTTAGCCAGATGATGATTGCGCTGTCTGCCATCACCTTTTCTGTCGCTCTGGTACGGACCTACTGGCGAAATCCACTGGCCGCAGCACTCCGGCTAGTTCTTTCTCTCGGAGCTTTTATTGGCGTCGGTATAACCATTTTCAGGGAAGCCGACTACGCTCCATTTGATCTGTATAAGCCTCCAGAAAAGGATAATGCCATCCTACTTCCAGTGGCTTGCTTGTTGGAAGGAACACTACGCTCCGCGGCAGAGAAGCAAGCACAGGAGAGCGACGCAGATCTCGGCTTCGGAGCAGCACTCAATTGGTTCTGGCCAGCACCCGACAGAATCTTGTTCATCGTCCTCGGCGTCACCTTCCTGTGGGCGCACTTTCTGGGTTTCGTTCGCTTTCGCGAATCCCGCAAACCTCGCAACCAGGCAATAAAAGAACGGTCCTGTATGCGGAAATCCTTCAGTCGCTTGTACCTGGGGTCGATAATTCTCATGCCTACCGGGACGTCGATCTTCTGCTGGATCCGCGTCTACATCATGCGCAAGTGGGTAGATGAGTCTGGCTGGATGGAAAGTCCTAATACTGAGATGATCATTTGGGACTCTGGCGGATTGATCGCGATGGGAATCATTATCACAGTCTTAATGAACGTACTGACTGAGGCCTTCGAGAGAAAGAAGAAAGAAGCGACGAAAGAGATTGAAGAAGGGGCGGCGTATAAGCAGCTTGTGTCTCGGGATCCTTCACCAATGCACATGAACGACCGGGGGTACAACCGTGGGCAGAATCGACCCTTCAACACATCCAGATTAAGGTAGCAAGCTTTGAGGTAGTTACCTAGGTCATTGATGAGGTAGTTGACTGTAGGAAAGAGGATCAGTATCGCCTGCAACAAGCATTACCGTTGCCCGTCTAGTGTTTTGCGACGGTCATTGGATTTGCGCTTTGGTGCGCGGTATTGCTGCTGAAAAACTCGTATGCTTTCCTGGAGAGAATTTATGTGGATTTTTCAAGAGTCTGTAGATGTCCACGGTACCTGAGTGGAGGGTTGTTTTCGCGTCGTCTGATAAAGCGGTGTTCACGATGGTTGTGGAGTGTTGAAGCGCGACGTGATGACGGCAGGTGCACGGACGTGTCGGGCGCGGCGTTGCTGACTACTACTTGGTTGCTCCATCATCATCACCGGTCGACACTCGTCGAAGCTGGTCGAAGGCGAACACTTGGCTTCTCCCTTATAGACACGAATTACGACTCCAAGGGCACCACTTGTCTTCTAGAAGGGTCACGATAACGCCCCGCGCTGGTCGAACGCTGCCTTTGCTGGCCTCGTCGACATTCACAATCATAATCATTGCGCGATACATGCACGACTAATCTAATACTCTCTTCGCAGTCTGGCCAACTAGTACCAACCTTGGATGCAACGAGAGTACACCCTCACAAGGACTCCATCTGTTCACTTCCCGATTCGTCGTCTCGAAATCGCCTCACTCGACGGGCCCCGCCACCATGTTCACGAGTTTCACCGGCAACACGCGAAAGGCGCGTCAGGTGAACCTCGGCGGAAAGAAGACAAACCCCTTCGGTCCTCCCGGCTCCGGCGCCGGATCCCAGGCCGCCCTCGACCGCGCACAACAAGACCGGGTGCAACGACAGCGGGAACGAGATACGCTGAATGCGGCCAAGCGGATACAGAAGGTATGGCGGGGTCACTCCGCCAGGAGAGATGTGGCCGAAGAGCTACGGGGGGCATGGGACCGGGCAGAAGAGTCGAGCGGCTCTTCGCATACCGTGGCATACAGCTCCGAGGAGGAAGCCCTGGCCCAGCTGCAACGGCTGCTCCGCTTCGCTTCCTCACGGAGTGATGACGATCTGAGACGGATACAACACTATGCGTCGCGACAGATGGAAGCAGTCAAGAAGCTGGGCATTGCTTCGAGCGGACCATGGCCGTGGGCTTATTTGAGGCTGCAGCGGATATTGCTCGTCGCTATAGAACGGCAGCTTCAGAAGACCTCGACAGTCCAATGGCAACAGATTAGACCCTCTGTGGATGTGTTACATTTCCTCGCAGACCAGATACCCGCCGAAACGTCCCAAAACGCCCAAAATTACTACCGCGCCCTCGCGCTCGTCGTGTCCACATTTACCTCAATACTTGAAGCACAAAGTGACGGGTCAGACATGAGCGACATCATAGCAAGGGCAGCTATCTCGCCGATGAAGCGGGTGACCGGATATACACTAGATGCTTACGAAGCCTTTGGCATACATTTCTTGACTCTCCCGCTACTAGCATCAGACTCGCCATCACCGTGCCTACACAAGTTCCGCGACTCGCTCGCCGACTCAATCAACTACAAACTACTTGCGAACGCATTGGCAACTCTCTCTAAGAAGGCAGGATTGCAAAGCAAAGCCGAATTGAAGAGCACGTCAAGTCGACTGCGTTTGCTGGGAAACTTCATCTACTTTCACCGCTACGCTCATAACTTTGACACTCCTGAAGCGTACGCTATCCACAAAGATTTCGTAGCCGTAGTCTCCGTTCTGTTGAACTCTCTACCAGTCAACATCGTTGACGATGGTCATCCAATCGCCGAGCTTTCGGAAGATGGCATCGAGCAAGACTCCGAAATAGTGTCTGGTTTCTTGAAAGAGCAAGTTGGCTCGCTGGTGCACCAGGAAGGCATTGGTAGTCTTCTCGCCGGATCTTCGCAGTCAGCAGAAGCTTCGGACGATGAGAAGGTTGATGAAGCACGCCAGCTCGCAAACTATGCCCTTGCATTACTTCGATTCTTTCCCCGCCGAGGTGACGAAATACGGATGTGGCTGTACATTGGTCCATCGGAGGCGTCTGAAAAAAGTACAAAGAAGCTTCCGGCGATCAGGTACTTCTGGGAGGCGTCGAAACGATCATCCGTCTTCAGCACAATCTTCAAAGACTCCAGGGCAGCTATTGGACTTTTAAAGCCAAAGTCATCGAGCATGAACGGCTCCGACCGCCCGGGAACATCGGGACTGACACATCACGGCTTCTGGCAGCCAGCGCAGCAGCAAGTCGACCGCGATGCTATCACTACTGATGAGTGGCGGGTTATTCTTGTGTTCTTGGAACTATACACCTTTGTGCTTAAAGTCACTGATGATGAGGAGTTCTTTACGTCTGGACAAAAGGATGTATACTCTGGTCAAATCCGCGACAGTGGCTTACCCCTGACTGAAGTAAAGGATCTGACAACCTTCCTCAAGAATCTGGGTTTTACACTTTACTTTAACGCAGTAGACATTACGAATTCAGACGAGGACACTAGGAGCAATGGTACAAGTCTCAACTACTTCAATCCGCAAGTAATGGACAACCAAGCCCAAAAAGAGCATGCTGAGCCATCGATAGGTGGTGTCGCGGGCTTGAAGATCGATTACGTGAAAGGTCTAGTCACTGGGTTGCTCCGTATGGTGTACGAACGGGACTCGCGACGCAAGTTTCTGCCTGCAGACCACTGGTTGATGGTTTCGCGGTTCGACATGACTGGATTCATTCCTGCCGTAGTTGAAGAGGAGGAATCGCGACATAAGATTCAAGAGGAAGACGCAGATGATCTCGATGACCTGGAAGAAGAGGAGTTTGATGATACGCCACAGCTCATTGGCACTAGTCGAACGCAACAGCAACGACGCTTGGAGAAGCTACAACGGCAGCAGCGCAAGGCTTCGCGGAGACGGTACCTGCAAGCGGTGGCGCCTCGTCTTGAGATTTTGCAAAATATGCCCTTCTTTATACCCTTTACCACTCGAGTCCAGATCTTCCGCGAGTTTGTCAAGCTAGACATGATCAAACGAAGAGGGTCTGCGGATCCAGAATTTTGGCGATTCAGAACGATGCAGCAGCCAAACGCACGAAGTCAGTTGGAGAAACACACTGCAAGGATCAGGAGAGAGAACGAGTTCGATGATGCTTTCGAGCAGTTTTATGAGTTGGGCCAAGGCTTGAAGGAGCCGATCCAGATTACCTTTATGGATCAGTTTGGCGCTCCCGAAGCTGGTATCGACGGCGGCGGAGTCACCAAGGAGTTTCTAACCAGCGTTACCAGCCGAGCATTCATGCCAACAGACTACATTGACATGTTTGTCGAGAACGACCAGCACCTCCTTTACCCTAATCCCGCCGCCCTCGAAGAACACAAAGAAGCCCTCCGCCAAGCCGGCATCCGTGAAGGCTCCCAGGAGTACCGTGCACAAATTACTGAACTCCTCCAACGCTACGAGTTCCTCGGTCGCATCATCGGCAAATGTCTCTATGAAGGTATCTTGGTCGACGTCAACTTCGCCCCCTTCTTCCTCCGTAAATGGGCTCTAACAGGCGGCACGGGTTCCGCTCCCAACGAATCTGGCTACCGCCCCACGCTCAACGATCTCCGTGACCTAGACGAAGAACTCTACCAAGGCCTGCACAAACTCAAAACCTACCCCGGCGATGTCGAAGATTTCTCCCTCAACTTCACCGTCACCGACACGGTTGTCGTTGACCACACGACCTCGCCCAAGAAGACCAAAGCCATAACCAAGGACCTGAAACCCGATGGCTCCAACACCCCCGTCACAAATCAAAACCGCCTCGTCTACATTAGCTACATGGCGCGTCACCGCCTGCAAAACCAACCGTACGCCCAAACCACCGCCTTTTTGCGTGGTCTAAGCACAATGATTCAACCCTCGTGGCTCTCTATGTTCAACGCCTCTGAACTCCAAACCCTCATCTCAGGAACCCGCACACAAATCGACATTGACGACCTACGCCGCAACACCATTTACGGCGGCACCTATGTAATCGGCGACGACGGACTCGAACACCCCACCATCCAACTCCTCTGGAAAGTCATGAAGGAAATGAGTGACGATGAACGACGGGCTGTGCTCAAGTTTGTGACGAGTACGCCGAGGGCGCCGTTGTTGGGGTTTGGGACGCTGAATCCGAGGTTCAGTATTAGGGATGCGGGGAGGGATCAGAGTAGGTTGCCGAGTACGAGTACGTGCGTTAATCTTTTGAAGTTGCCAATGTATGAAGATGAGGAGACGCTGAAGGAGAAGCTTTTGTATAGCGTCTTTTCGGGCGCTGGGTTTGATCTGAGCTAGGTTGGAGTGTGTGTGCGTGGTGGATTGGGAGATGCGTACAAGTAGGGCCGCAGGGAGGAAGACTGCCATCTCTATGAAGGAGAAGGGTATTATGTACAGATTATTCTGATGATTACACTTACAAATAGGCACCCTTTCTCTTGCACACATCGTTGTACTCTAAACCATACGGATACCTAGCTCTCATGACTTGATAATATGCCTTTGCCTTGTTTCCTCAGAAGATTTAACAACCTCGGCATGACAGGCGAAACGTCCAGGGTACGTTTCTTGAACTGGGAGACTAATTGGATCAATGCGATATGCCACATGGATCGGGAGATCAAATTCGACTTGTGCAACGGCCCTTGACGCGACTAGTCTTGCCTAGTATGCAGCCGTTGGGGCTAGCTTACCCTTGATTGTTGCATCCGCCTTTCGGACCAGTTAACGGGCTAACAGCCACCCGTTGTGGTCTGTGTGGAGGGGCGCCAGCAAAAGTTGTTCGGAGAACATTGCTAGTAGCGATCGCAATGAACAATTTAGGAAACTTAGTCCGTAGCGCAACAACGAAACTCTGGATACGAAGGGTCACACCGCTGTCAACTATAGGATTAGTAACGCACTATCCATACACACTGGAAAGCCGACATTTACTACTGCCCACAGTTTAGAGTAGTGCTGCGTTTAGTTGATTTCTTAATGTTCATATATTCCATTGTACATGCACATGCAGTACTTAGCAACGAGCTTCACTCCCACAATTTTCCCTTTGAGATGGCGTCATCCCTCAAAGTTTGATTAGAAGCGGTAGTTGGCTTTTTTGCAATCTATACGTCGTCGGCGCTATGACGCCTTAGCCCTTCATGCCCGCGTTGTACGACGTCGGTCTAAGCTTTCTGTGCCAAGGAATTATCCATACGATCATGTACGCTGCCCCTTCTCACAGTTGAGAATAAACGGATCCTGGAGTCAGGGTCTAGCAAACAAAGGATTGTATAGCTTATTGGAACACTTCCAGCTGTAGGGTTCTTTTCTGGGTTGCGTCGCTCAACGTGATTATATAAGGGGAGACAGTGCAAGAAGGATCGACAAGTTTGTACGAAAGTCCCGTTATATATTTCTCCCCCTCCTTCGTGTTCATGTTTGGTAGGGACAAATACGATGTGCACGTCCCGCCGCAGGTTACATGATGTCGTTCCTAAAATAAACACGTCTCCTGCGTGATACCATGTCTATCCTCATGGTATCGCTGACGTCGGATACGAGGTACAGTGTTATCTTTGTATATATAAGACTTCACATCTCTGCTTTCCAATAAGAATCACTCAAGCTCCATTCACCAAGCACACTCGCTACCAACACTCACTCACTCACACACCAACAAACCACCTTACTTCGACAACAAAAACAATCACCATGCGCTTCACCATCGCCACCATCGCCGCCATGGCCGTCTCCGCCAGCGCCACCGTACTCCCGCGCTCCGACCTTGGCGGCTGGAACGTATCCTACGTGCAGACCGGCGGATCCGACAGAACACACTCGGAGCACGTATACGGCGTGTACGCCAACGCGGAGCTCGCGGACAACATTGCCGTCGACTGCCTCTCGCAGACGACGAGCGACGGACAGGTGTTCTCTGGAAACGATCCTACGACCCTGACCTGCACTCCTGCGTCGTTCAGCTACGTGTACAACACCGATGGTATGTGTGGCATTCTCCTCCCACAATTTTCTGTTCGAGTCGTTTGTGTGCGCTCGTTTTTTTTTCTTTATGTTTTCGGTTTGCTGACTAGAACTTGCGATTAGATTCTACTTTGACCCTGACGCAGACTGTGGAGCTCAGCGGTACTAATGTTACTGTTAAGGGTACCTCGCAGCCCTTTACTACTAAGCTCGATCCTATCCGCGGAAAGGGTGGATCCGCTCACAACATCACTTTCCAGGCTACCACTGGTGTGGCGTAAATGCCTTGATCTGAGACTTGTAAAGTTTTGCGGGAGGGGGTGTAAAGAACCAGACAGATTATTCCGGGGCCAACAGTTGGAATGTACATCTAAAGGGGAGGAAAGCGGGACCGTCATAGAAGGCAATATCACCAAAGACAGAGAAGAAAATTAATAGCTCGAGGAGATTTTAGAATTGAGTCCCCCATTTGCGGTCGCTATTTCTCTTTTTGAGACGTGAGGTTTTCCATTTAGATGACGTCGAATTCTATGTAAACATCGCGAGAGTAGATGACGGCACTGTGCACCAGCCACCCATGAAGGGACATTGTGAGGACCGGTGTGACAATCATTGTAGAGACGAATGCTAAAGAGTGTAGTGCGAATCGACGTTGTAGCTCGGATGCATGGCGGTATTCAAAACTTCTATCGTGTGATGGCGCACTTTTTCTTTTCGTATGAATTCTCTCCATTGATCTTTTGCCAACAGTATTGGCCAGTATGTTCATGTTTGCTGAGAGAACAAATTCAATGACGAGAACCAGATTGACGGTTGTAAGGCGCTAGCGAACACGCTGCTTCCGGAGTCGCGTCCACACTCACCCAGCTATCCAACTTCAATCTGGTATTGTCAGACTAGCCATCAGAATAGCTGCAACGACCAGAGAGCCCCACGGAAAGAGCTGGTCTCTTCACGCCAATGCTACGGTAATCGACATCTTAGTCAACTTTCCGAGTTAGGCAAGTGGGGCAAGCGAACTGGCGAACATCCCATCTGCGCAAGCGTGCATAGTAGTGCATCGAATCGCCTGCAGAGCAGGGGCAATCAACTTTACGGCGAGACAGGTCAGGATATTCTCAGTCAGACAACCATCATCTGCACTCATCGCATCATTACAATCGAGTATGGCGTTGAAACAGACACGCTAATCCTCACCCGTCGCACGCGAAGATTGTGATCACCGAAAATCGAAAAGCGCACCGCGATGCCGCCTGTATATTGTGTACACTAGAACTAGAATGTAGCGCATCGTCATGAGTCTCAGCTACATGTATGTTCACCGACGTTAACACAACACTCATCAGTCAACGACGCTAGTCGTCGTACAGGCTTTCGACAACGAAGACCCTCGCTTCGAGATATGGCGCTTCATCTACCTGCAACAGCTACCTACACATACAAGCCTCTTTCTGCACGTCGCATCAGGCTCCTCAAACTACCCAAGAACGTCGATCCTCAATGTGAAGAAGCGCCTACTCTGGTAGATGTATCGTTGGATACGCCACCCGCATACGAAACAGTCTCCTACGTGTGGGGCGAGCAGATCAAATCATGCCTCTTCAACTTCAGCTCCGGTACATCGGTTGCAGTCACTCCAACTCTACGCACCACGATTGAGCGACTTCGCCCTCATTGCCAAACGTGCTACCTTTGGGTCGACCAGCTATGCATCGACCAGGCTAGCATCCCGGACCGCAATCAGCAAGTTGCTCTTATGGGCGAGATCTACAGCAAGTGCCAACGCGTGATGATCTGGCTGGGACAAGAAGTGCACCACTCCGGATACCTGGCATACTACTTCGACGACGGACTACCCCCAGAGCTTCAGCGAAAGACAAATCATACGCGCGTTTCGTCCTCCCGTTTAGAACAGCCTGATGCGCAATCCTTTGTCCGGTTCTTGCTAGCACTGACGTGGTTTACCAGGGCGTGGGTGGTGCAAGAGGCCGTATTACCTCCCAAAGCATCATGCTTCCTCGGCCCTTTCACCTTCTCCATCGAGGACCTCTGGGCCGTTGTAGTCCATCACAGAAGCGCAGAACGTTACTTTGTACAAACAGACTACAGCAGCATACGCCAGCATCCCGGATATCTAGTGCTGAATGAGATCATGCGCCTGCGACAACAGGCGCGATACCGGAGTAAGAAGAAGCACAACCCAGCAGTTTGCTTCTACCACTCGCTGTCCATCTTTGCTCCGAGGTGCATGACGACGAGTCGGCATGATATCATCTATTCCTTCTTGGGACTACAGAGAGATCCCCGTGTGCGCATGATACCCGACTACGATCTGGACTGGAGCGTTGTGCCTGTGATAGCAACGAGCACAATTTGTGAGGCGACAGAGAGTTTGAACCTGTTTGGTATGTTGCACCGACAAGCAGGTGATGAGAGTCGGTGGCCGAGCCTCCCATCCTGGGTGCCAGATTGGTCAAGAAGACTAGAGGCTGAACCCATGGTGTTTCCTCGGAGCTGGATATACTTCGACTCTGCGTCTGGAATGGCGCACAAAGCTAGGAAATCCAGTGGTCTACCTGCATCGCATCTGGTGGTGCGTGGCAAGATTATCAGCGAGGTGGCGCACACGTTTCCTTTCTCCCGGGGCAGTGGAGAGCCGCTCGCGAATCGCCATGGATGGGATGTTTGCTCTTACCTCAATATACGGCGTTTACATCATCTCCTGGGGAAGACATGGCTAAACGATACGACAGCCCCGCCGATAGTGCGTCTTCTGAAAGTCATTTTGGCCGACGGCTCTTTCACGCTGAACCAGAAGCTACGAGAGCATTGCAGCGAAGGCTTGCCGGATTCTGATATTGACGAGTTGGCTGCAACGTACTGGTCCATTGAGTCCCTGGCGAAACAAGAAGACACCGAGACGACGGATCGCTCCAAGATGGATGATGACATGGGCAAACGAGCGACGAGACTGCGTGACCACGCCCGCGCAGCCTGGGGAAGACAACTGATAGTCAGCCGCGATTGGAGACTAGGACTTGCGCATACAACAGCACACGAGGGAGACGTGATTTGCATTGTCCACGGTTCCAAAGTGCCGCTCGTGTTGCGCCGTCTTCAGAGTGGACGTTACCGCTTGATAGGCCAGTGCTACTTTGAGAGCGCCATGCGCGGCGAAGAGGTCACTTGGGGTGAAGACGATGCAAATGAATTTATACTTGAATGAGCAATACTTGTTGGCCCATCCAAGACGTCCTTCTGGCATGAGAACCTCGTATGCGACGTGCGAACAACCACTCGGTCACAATGTCTCGTGATGGATGTACACATGTTGACTTGAGGTTCCGTGGTTCCGCTAGCCAATGATAGCTAGCGGAGCCAGGTTTCTTCCCGTGTAAACTTCTCTCCATGGTATTGCGTGGACCCATGGGTGACGAGCCATTTATAAACGCTCTCTTACTATCCGGTTCCCCCCTTTGAAACAAAAGCATATCTATTCCCACTGCAGAACTCACTCACTCTTCCCATCACGATCCATCTTCACCCGCGCTCTCTCCTCCAATCTTATCAGCACCATGGATTTTGCTAAAAAGCAGTATACCAAAGAAGTTGCGCCGCGTTCTGTTTCAACACAAGAAGGCAGTCTTGACCATGTTCTGAACGTCTTGGTCTTGCACAATCATCCCTTCTTACTGGTCGGATGCGCAGCACAGCGATGGATGGGATCCAACGGAACCATGACGGACGTGTGCGAAATCGTGATCCGGAACGACGCCCTGAGCGCCATCACTTCGGACCTCCTTGCGACAGGAGAATGGGAGGGGGTCAAAGAATCCAAAGCAGAAGCGTCGGCTAGACACGACGACCCGATTTTCAAGTGTGACGCCGACGTCGTGTTCCGGCGGGTGCACATTAAGAATGGTAACGAGTTTGAATGGTTGGCTCTCTGGTCCGAAAACAGCTACCACATCAACGTGGATGAATGCGCTAGTATCCGGGTTCCTGATGTGTACTCCCGGTCGCCCATCTTAGTTGAAGATAGTTGGCACCCAGCCATGCATCGAGACAATGGTTGGTGGTATGGCCCCCGCGTGCATCCCGACACAAAAGTATCGAATCCTGCCAGCGCCCATCCGAACGCGATATTCTTCTCCTCCCTCCCTCGAGGAAAAAGCGCTGCACACGCGCACCCTATCCATATCCCAGCTCTTCCCGCCTATATCGATGCACTGGTCTATCACGTGACACATTACAAGGCAACCAGGCCGGGACTCTGGGCTCTTTCGTCGTGGCAGCTTCGGAACCTGACACGGTATTTGTACTTGGAGCTGGATCATCAACAGCTACCGCTTTTGATTGAGATGGAGGAGTATGAATTCATGGAAAGCTACCTCAAGAGATTCATCAGGAAGCCGAGGTTCGTATATCGTGTGGACGAGTCAGGTGAGTTTGAGACGACGAGGGTGAGAGAGTGGGATCCGGAGAGTCATCCCGTATGGTGTCGGGTGAGCAAGTAAAGGCAACGGATGTGAAGTTTGGGCGTCATAGTCTGAAGCTCTTGGTGCCTTACCATACTAATAACCTATGTGTAGCTGCGATCATTGCATGCTATAACCCCCGTGCTCCAAGTCTGATTCAAAACACCTTCTTCACAACTCAAGCCACAATTTAAACGCAGAAGCCTCCTGTCAAGCTCCAAGCACCGTTTCACCCCCGGCCCTCAACTCTCGTCCGCAGCATCGCCCATTTTCTCCATATCAACCTCGCCAATGACGCCCTTCAACAACTCGGGCACAATCTGCGCGGCATCGCCCTGAAAAAACCAATCGCCGTTGTACAGTCCGCCCGCAGGCACATCATTAGCATCCATATTGATAATCGCCACGCGCGCGCCTTTACTGCGCGCCAAGTCGACGTAGCCCGCAGCGGGATAAACCTTCGCACTCGTACCAATGACCATGATGAGATCGATACCCGCCTTATCCGACACAAAGGCATCGACGTCCTCCATGACCTTCTTGGGCAGGGCTTCCCCGAACCAAACGACGCCAGGACGGAGGAGGCCGCGTTGACACTTGGGGCAGTGGGGCAGGTGGTTGTAGTCCAGTTCAGGAATGGCGACGTTGACATCTGCAATGTCCAGTTCGCGGGCGGATGTAGTAGTGGGGTCGAGGGGTGCAGAGGAGCCGTCGTCGGCGGTGGGTATGGCGAGAGCGGGGACAATGGGATCGGTATAGTTATTCTTCTCGACATAGTTGCAGAAGAAATCTGAGCACTTGACGTCGAAGAGGGAACCGTGTAGTAACTTGAGCTGCTCAAGTGGGTGCTGTGCGCGGGGCGATAGGCCTGGTTGATAGTCGCATTAGCTATACACGCCATGACGATAGAAGGAGTTGGGGTAACGATGCTTACCGTCGACATTCTGACTCAGCGTGATGAAGGCGTCCTTCTTCCTCGCTAGCTCTGCGAGGGCGTAGTGGGCGGGGTTGGGCTTGGCTTGGAGGGCCATGTGTCGTCTGTAGCTGTAGAATTGCCACACGAGCCCTGGGTCGCGCTCGAACGCGCCCGGCGTGGCTAGTGATGTCGCGTCATGCGTCCTCCACAAGCCGCCAGCGCCTCTGAACGTCGGCAGGCCGGAAGAGGCCGATAGTCCTGCGCCCAAGAGGGCGAGGATGCGCGTTGACTTGGCGAGGTGCTGTTGGAAGCTTTCGAGGTCTTTTGGCGGGACGGCGCTGGGTTTGGCGGCCGTGGTGGCCATTCTGCGGATGAGGGTGGGGAGGATCACGGTGACGAGGGCGGTGGTCTTCTTCGCAGACTGTGTATGCGAAGAGAGGGACAGATTGGTGGTGGTGATACTGGTGTCATGTATGCGTTGTTTGTGACACTTCGGGTGACAGTAATGGGGGCCTGGAGGTGGTTGCGGGGGAAGCTGCAAGGTACGACGTCAGCTCTCTTCCCCACTAACTGCAATTCCCGCTAGCTAGCGCTGCCCACGACGTCGGGAAACGCCATGGTCTCTCCGACGTCCGGTAAACACCATGACTGTTGGCCTGAGACTGCTCCGGCCCACGACGCGGTCAGGGTTATCTAGGGTTAGGTTGGAGGGACGACTGTGGAATACAAGGACACAATGGAACACGACGTGGAACACAACGAGGAATGCGAGGACGTATTCTGCCGTGCCAGCGTCTGAACTCCGATTTGGCCAACCGCTGCACGAAACGCATCCACACCTACTCAAGGCTGGGGAAGGTGATGACCACCCGGAGAAACTCTTGCCCGCTACTAACACGCCCCAACAGTGACGCCCGGCATCACCGCCCTCGAGTACCACCACCGCCGCTGCGCCCTCGCCAAAGAAATCCCCCCAAACTCGGCCGCCATATTCGCTGCGAACGACCTGAAATACGCTTCCGGCGCCGTCTTCTACAAATTCCACCAGGATCCCGATTTCCTCTACCTAACCGGCTTCAAGGAACAAGATGCGCTGGCCATCATCGAGAAACACGAGGGCGAGGATTTCACCTTCCACCTCTACGTGCGGCCCAAGGACGCGCGCGTCGAAGCCTGGGAAGGCCCCCGCTCCGGCGTCGACGCCGCAACAGATGTCTTCAATGCCGACGTGAGCGGCAGCATCGACGACCTCCCGCGCCTCCTCCCCGACATAGTAAACCGCGCCCAGGCAATCTACACCGACCTGCCCCAGTCCCGCGTCTCAAAGAACCTGTTATCGCGCTACCTGTCCGGCGCAGAACCCTCGCGTACGGGCGGCATCTACACCGTATTTCGCGATGCGCCTGCCTCTATTCGGCCCCTCCGGCCCCTCGTCAACGAGCTCCGTCTGATCAAATCAGAAGCCGAGATCAACAACATGAGGCACGCGGGTCAGCACTCTGGCCGCGCCATCACAGATGCGATGCGACAGTCGTTTACCCGGGAAAAAGACCTAGATTCCTTCCTGGACTACTGGTTCAAGCAGGATGATTGTGATGGCCCGGCCTATGTCCCCGTCGTTGCGGGCGGCATCAACGCAAACACCATACACTACGTCTCCAACGACATGCGCCTGAACCCCAACGAACTCGTTCTCGTGGATGCGGGAGCGCAGTATGGTGGCTACGTCACAGACATAACGCGTACATGGCCTGTCTCAGGCAAGTTCTCGCCAGCCCAACGCGATCTCTACAGCTTGTTGCTTGCCGTCCAACGCTCGTGCATCTCCCTCTGCCGCACAGACTCGCACTTTACCCTAGATAAACTCCACCACACAGCTTCCAACTCGCTCGCTAGTGGGCTCAAAGATCTAGGCTTCGATATGACGAGCAACCCTACAGATGCTATACAAACTCTTTTCCCCCACCACGTCGGTCATTATGTAGGCCTGGATGTACACGACAGCCCTGGTCTGAGTCGCAGCAGGAAATTCGAAAAGGGCATGTGTGTTACGGTTGAGCCGGGGATTTATGTGCCGGATGATGAGCACTGGCCCAAGTGGGCGAGGGGGATGGGCATGCGGATTGAGGATAGTGTTTGTGTGGATGAGGAGAGTCCGTTTGTGCTTACGACGGAGGCGGTGAAGGAGGTTGTTGATATTGAGGCGTTGAAAGAGTGAAGAGGGGGAGAGTTGAGGCGATAGACAGATAAAGACAGATAAAGAGAGAGAAAGAGAGAGAGCTGAACCACACAAAAAGTGGATACTGCAGTTTCATCGTTCTGAGCTGCTACTAAACTATGACATGGTCATGTTTCTTGTTTGTTCTTTCTCTGTTCCGCTCGTATCTTCCTTATTACTTACTTGAATACCCCTTCTTCTTCTCCCAAACCATTACCATTTTTGGTTTACTTGCGTAACTCCCCCCCCCATGTCTAACATTTAACCGAGTTCTTGGTTTTAACTCGATACGATCGTTGTGTCAGCCAGCACAACAAGCGAATGTTCATGATAATATATTCAAACATTCTTCTTCTTCTTCTTCTTCTTCTTCTTCTTCTTCTTCTTCTTCTTCTTCTTCTTCTTCTTCTTCTTCTTCTTCTTCTTCTTCTTCTTCTTCTTCTTCTCCTTCTCCTTCTCCTCCTCCTTGCATGTCGAGACCGCCATCTTGGAATACATATGCAACGACTCGACAACTTTTCATCGAAAGTACAAGATACTCGATAACAATAACAACAACCGGGGGCGTTGTGGCGGAGTGGTTATCGCGCAAGACTAGAAATCTTGTTCCTTCGGGAGCGTCAGTTCGAATCTGGCCAACGTCGTCTCTTTTTTTTTCTTTTTTTGCTGAGTGAGAGCGGATGGGAAGAAGAGATGCTTCTGCTGCTCTATATTCGGGAGATTCTTTCTTTTCTTTTCTTTCTCCTTCTTCTCTCCCTGTTCCATGTTTTAATATTTGGTTGCTTTCTCGTTTTTATGTCCTTGATTCGCGAAAGGCGTGTTCGATTCTCAATTACTAGGCCTGGGTTGTCGCCGTTTGTATAGGTTGTTTAGCTCTTATCCATCCTCGTTGCTGTGGTACCTGAATGTGGAACCAAAGGCACAATTAAGCAATCACTGCCAAGATCCGAACATCGTAGCTGATAGCGGTAATGAAAAGAACCGACAGCATTCCCTCCCCTCCCTCCCTCCCTTTCACCAGCTATGTGTGGATATCGTGCGTTGTCGTTAGTCGTCGTGGTTAGAATTGCCCCCAAAACCTCCGTGTCGCGCAAACAACTCTTCACAACGCATGAAAATGGTAATTCCCCCACCCATCCAACTCATACAGAAATAGCTTCTCAGTCGGCTGATCATTATCAGGCCACGGCAAATACTTGTGATCGACTTTCGTACCCGCGACATAGGGCGGCGGCCTTAGCACCATGATGACCTCATCGGGAAACGCATCGGCGATGTCAGCCCAGACCAACGGCTCGCTCGTCTTGACGATCGAATAGATGAAATGGTAGGCGCGCGCCGCGAGCGCGTTGGTGTCGCACATGGCGCGGAGTAACGAGACGAGTTGGCGGACGGCTTGGATGGAAGGGGCGAGGGCGTCGCGGAAGTGGTCGGGGACTGAGATGGCGATCATGAGGACGGCGAGTGCTTGCATGACTGTTGTGAAGGAGTAAGAAAAACAAGGCTGCTTTAGTGAGGCATGTAGCAACATTTAAAAAGGTGATTTCCAACTTACTGTTATGGACGATTGTCCACCACGGCCCTTTCTCATACAGACTCTTGACGTGCGGCTCCGATACTAGTAGCGAGGCAACGTCCTGTGCCGCTCGCACACACGTATCCGCCACGGATTGATCGAGCGAATTGAAATCGTCAGTCCCGGCTTCAAAACAGCGTTCGACGCGACGGAGTGAGGGGCGCGTAGATAGTATCTTCAATCGGTAGTACTGAAGCTTGAGCAGGAATCCTTCGCGCTGCTGCTGCTGCTGCTGCTGCTGCTGTTGCTGCCTGTAAGAAGCGGGATTATTATTATTCCATTCCTGAGAACTACGCAGCTCGGGAAGGTGGTCGACGGCCCACTTGTCGAGGTCGCCGACGAGCGAGACGGTCGCTTGCTGTAGGTAGTCCCAGGACGGCGCTGATCTACGCTGCGTGTATAGGTTGGAGATGATTTGCTGCGTCAGCAGATTCAAGTTTGTATCGGCGTCTAGGAAATCGAGATTAATTGTGCCGGTCGCGGCGCGTTGTTGCGTTTGTTGTGGTTGTTGTTGTTGGTGTTGATCCGAAGAAGAAGCAAGGACGCCGGGGAGAGGCGTCGTAATGTCTTCGTTGGGTATGATACTCGGTCGGCCCGTGATGGAACTGAGCAGGCTCTCTAGGGAATGTAGACTCCACCAGGTGCATATCATACTTTGCCTTCGGGCGGCCGAGACGGTCTGGTCGTCGTGTTGTTGGACGTGCAGTCCGAGCGAAAAGGCTGCTCGCATCGCTATGCCTACCATTACCCAGGCCCTGCCGACCACTCGTCAGCATACGGTGTTACTCCCAGACATGTTGTAAATACGTACCGATTGACATGGCCGACAGTCATGTAATAAACCGCAAAAAGACCCGCAGCCTGCAAGCGTTCAGCATTCGGTCAGATGGGAGTTTAGCGCAACAGAAACTTGCCTGCGTGGTAAGGAGATCGGGGGTTGACAAGACGACAATGGTGTCATTCATGCTAAGCAATTGGAACGCGCGCGAAAGGTAGATGACGTGGTCCAGCTCGTCAGCTCGCCAGTCGGCCTGGATGAGGTGGGAAAACTTGGCGCCTATGGCGAAGACGAGGTTCACAAGCGCAAACCATTTTTCCGGGCAGTGTATCGCCTGGCCGTTGCGGACCAAAGTGTAGTACTGATGCAGTTGGTGTTCGATGGTTACGGGAAGGATGGGAAAGGAAGTCTGGACGGTCTGGGTATAACATCGAAACAGAAGCGCTGCAGTTTGTTCTGGCGGTAGCTCAAAAGGATTCCCGCAGTTTGTGAGCTTGATGCCTTCGTTGTCAAGATAGTAGTTGGTCAGGGAGATCGATTGTTGTTGTTGTTGTTGTTGTTGTTGTTGAAGCGGAGTTGCGGGAATAGACATCGGGGATGCATCGAAAGTTGGCGAAGGTGGCTGAGAGAGCTGCGTGGCGTTGTCACCACCTGGACCAACGAAGACGGTCTCGACGGCCTGCACTCTATTTCGGAGGATCTGCAGCCATTGCACTTCGGATATCTGACCCAGGAAACCTGCTTCAATTACATCGGGCTGCTCGCCTCCTTCTTCGCTGCCAGATTCTTCGGGTACAATGTCGTCCAGTCGGGGGAGTGGTGATTGGTCAGACGTGGGCGATGTCTCTGCTGCGACTGGCACATAACTAGACGGCGAAGCGAAAGGGTGCATGCGCGAGTGTTGTTGGTACTGTTGAGCTGTCGATGCTCGTGAAGAAGAGGACATGGAAACGGGAGACTCGATCTCGTCATCTGACTTGGCGGTATTAATTACACGTTGCGATCCATGGCTAGTTAGGTGTATTACTTACATCCTGGAGGGCATCTTCGATTCTGCGCCTGTCCTCGTCGCTGACGCGCAGACTGAGGTCTTTCAAGACAGATACGAGGGCCTGGTTGCGATCTTTGGCACTGCAGAAAAAAAGGTCAAACGCGGGACTGTGCAGCAAAGACAAGAAGACTGACGTTGCTAGACGATCTTTCCGGGGGCGCTCGTAAAGACATGTCTTGCCTGTCTTTTCGCAATAATTGCAACGGGGAAGGCCGCCACTACATTTGATCTCTAGCGTACTTGTGTCAGACAGTGATCAGGCGCGCGTGACTTGGGCATAGCTGTTGAAAACCCACTCCTTTTGTGGCAATTTCGACATGCTCGTTGTACCCTATCTCTATGTCGAGACTTGGGAGTTGTGGGCGGCGGGGCGCGTCGGGCTGGCAAGCGTGGAATGGCAACCTTGAACTGCGACCCATAGGGACCAGCTGTCGGGGGACCAGTTCGCCTGTCGTCTTGCATCGGGCCGCTCGCGGAAACTCACGCTGCGTGGTAAGGAAATAAGAATCATCTCAACGCATCTCGGATCGTGATTAATGCAAATGAACAGCCTGCGTCATGAGAAATAAGAGATTGGGGACGAACACTGCGGCTTGGCGGGAGGACAATTGAGGTGATTGGTCTCGGTGCAGAAGACCGTATAGCCAATGCTGAGCTTGCCCGCGCCTCTGCCCTAAGGTCTCAAGCTTGCGCCGCTATTACAAGGGGTCATGACAGCGTTGCGCTACGACTTGTCGCCATGTACATGGCAATCATGGCTTCTTGCTGTGGTTATCAAGGAGCTTCGTCGACCTGCAAACTCCAAGATCCGCACGCGCTAGTCGTCGGGCCCCTCTGCCGTTGTCCCCTCTGCCGTTCTGCCGCATCGCATCTGGAGTCGCACAATGCGCCACTAGGCGCCTTCGCAAATGCGGTCATGTTCCATCGGTGCCCGGCATGGCATTCAGCCCTGCCGTTGGGAGATTTCGATGCGGTTTGGCACATCCTCTTGCTCGTGACGCTAGCACTGCAATCACCACGCGCTGGTGATTGGTCAACGCTAGTCAGTTACTGCTCGAGTACGTAGCTCGATTCGAGAGACCCTTCACCGTACTTTACCGAGCTTTCTGGATCGTTTCTCCCAAAGTTCGCCTAAGCACGCCGTCTTCGTGTCGTTAATATTACTGTTCCCACTCTAGACTGAGCGAGACGGGGACGTAAGCGAAAATGCTCACCACCTCAACACTATTCCTACCTCTGTGAGATGGTGGAACACTCCAATGGACGTCGCGTTACGAGGCATCGCTGAGGCATTGTCGAGGCTCTTTTTCTAGAAAGTCAGATACCACAGACTCACATAGGAGCGAGGAACGACTGTCACTCTCGAGCGGCGAGGAAGCGGCACGGCTGTGCAAAGCCCTGCACGATTATCGGCAGTTGGAACCAGAAACTCGAGGGTGCGCATCGCGCAAGGAGTGGGATCAATCCTCATCTCCCGATGTGGTGAAAGAAGAGCGAAAAGAAAAGAAAAGAAAAACTAATGGATAAACTCAACACGTGAGTCGGAACGAGTTTTGAGCAAAAGCAACGAGCTGGCGGTCAAGGGTATCTTACAGCGAATCCTGTCAAGATCATGCGGGTGAGGTGTCCGTGTGCACGTGTGTGTTGCAGACACGCGACATTGGTTGCTGCTTTACTAGCGTTTCGTACGAGAATGACCTACCTGCCTTGTTCTTTTGGCCATCGAATATGTAATGTCGCAATTGCGAGGTGAGTGTTGTTTGTGTTGCGTTGATACAGGGTCTCACTAGCGTGGCCACGAAAGAGCAACGAATGGGATGGAATTCTTGGGAGAAAGGCATGTTTTCGATATGAGAAATTGATTTTGGCACAAAACGATTCGGCCTAGGAACGATCGCGATTCTCGTATGAATACGCTCATTGGCTTCTTCCCCTCGCTCAGACATACTCCAGCCAAATCCCGCCAACGTCACTCTGTCCTTCTCCACCATCCAGTCTCTCCCGGGTACCTCCCGCCTTTCCAGCCTTCGCATCTGTCGCGAGAACGACATCTCCATACCAAAATCCCCATTCTGCGATGCGCTTCCGCTCTTCCTCGTTCTTCGGCAAGCGTAGCACAATTTCCGCGCCACCCTTGAGCTTCTCAACTTGCTGCACGCGTCCAAGCAAGAAGCTGATTTCCCCATAGTCTTCTCTCCCAGCATAACCGATGATGCTTTCATACACAGTCTTTGTCTCGTTGAGCATAGCCTGATCCTGCACAATGATGCTGAATTGTCTGACCCCCTGCGCGCCACACGGATGTGCAGTCCTTGCCTTGTCCAGCGGCACACGAACACTACGCGGCGTGACATCGTGGCAGAAGAACGGCACCTTGCCTCTGATCCCCTGACCTCCCTTCTCTCCTTTGGGAAAGGTGACAGCCCACGCTACATCAACACCATCAGCTCTTTTCCGTCCGCCTTTGATCGGCTCTGAATAACTCTCTATCATCCATGTGCGGTTCTTCTCAGGTGTAAGAGAGTTTGTCAGGCACCAGTCTTTCCACCCTACGAAGTCGGCGTCTGGACCCCACCAATGGTCGCGTGCGAGGGACGGATTGATAAAGGAGATGAGCTCGATGTAGCATCCGTCCGCGAGAAGTATCAAGACGTTCGATGTGGCGCCATCGGCGTGGAAGCCTCCCGGAGTAAGTGTGAAGTTGTCTGAGAAAAACGGTGGTACTTCGGGTAGTTGCGTGGTCGGGTTGGCAGGGACGAAGAGGATTAGATGGTCCAGACATTGCTGTAATGGAGCCATGGTGAAGTGGTCTACCCGGTGCAGTGGTAACTAGCTTGAGTGTAGGAACAACGACGCGCTTTAATACCAAAGTATAGTCATACGAGATCTTTCGTGTTGATATGTGAAAAGATAGTGCACGCACGTGGAGTCATCGCATTTGGCCGATACGGAAGAGATCTACGGCGATTGCGGAGGGGGTACTTAGCTTCAGCCGTCATTGTGCTAGACCTGTGCATCACTTGCTGCTTCTTTGCCATGTTGTCTATAGCGACAAAAAGAGAGTGGAGCTCTCAGGACTTTGCAGTCTTCTTTGTTGTGGGTACAGAAGGATGAGGGCGCGTGGTTCGACAGGGAACAGTGGTGGGGCGGATCAAGCCGCTTCACACCAGCCGGCTGCAGCAGCTATCCTCGCCCGCGGTTGACTAAAAAACGCCGACTACAAAACCTCTGCTTTGCACAGGCTTAGGGCAGCGCAATAAAACAAAGTAATTAGAATTCTAAGTTAGTAGATCTATAGAGAATTACTACGTCTGTTTTCCTAGCTACTGTCTTTCTAAACTGCTATTAGTATTGCTGTGTAACGAAGCAAGAGAGAGAGGGCATGCATCGCAGCTAGCTTATTTTGGTGAGGATTTGGGGCATCAGTCAACCGCGTGCCTCGCTTGCAGCAGGACACTCTCGTATCATGACCATTGCCATTCCTATCGCATCAGCTGTGCATGCGGGCTTTGCGCATTCTGCCATTCTCGCGTAATTGGCCGCCATATGCACAGCGCATGTAGGATCAGTCAGTGTAAGCCATACGGTGCCCTGTTGGTGCTGCAGACCGCCCAACATGCGTTCATTATCGCATCTGACTTCTGTGCGGAGCGGGGTTGTCTTGCAATTATCTGACTTTGCGGTGGACGACGCGTCGTTGCGTTACGTGTTTTGAGCCTATGATTTGAAGACTGGAGGAAACACGACAGTACGGCGGATCGAAAGATGCACAGCGACTCAGATGTCAATGTCGACCAAGTCGATGCTGACGATGGTGAGGCTCAAGCAGAGATTGAAACACCAACGTCATCGGCCGTGAGGCCTCGTGTTGAAGATCACATTGACTCCTCTGAGGACGAGGTGGTCTGGAAGGGTCGATTGGATGTGCGAAATACTCATCCTTCTACGAAGAGGCGAACGAAAGCTTCGAGTATCCCAGGCGCAGAACCTTCATTCGACCGACAAAGCGAGGCTGCGAAAAACAAGGTGACTGCACCAGGTTATTCATACCCATATTCTTCTGCGTTCTACCAGCCATATGCGCAGTCTTTCTGGCCATATCCGCCATCTTATCCATCAATCTATCCGCCGGCCTACCCACCAGCCTACCCACCAGCCTATCCACCAGTCTACCCACCGACCTATCCGTGGTTCTATGCTTTACCTGGACCATACAAGATTCCGAATCTAATAACTCAAAACGGTCCAGCGCAGCAAAATCCCCGTGATGGAGAACAGTCTAACGTGGCTCACCTTGACGACCGAATAGGGCTTGAGACAACGATCACCCGTAACGGAAACCCCAGAACTAGGAGCGTCACGTTTTCTAGTGAGACCGCAACAACTGGCAAACAGCGGACTAAGTCGACGAGGAAGAAATCCACATTGATGAATGAAAACACACTCAAAGGAGATAAGCAGTCTGATTATGCTGTGTCGGGAAGCTTATCGTATGAGGGCCCGATTTCATTGTCTCGTGATGGCAATGATATCTGGGATGAGAATGTCGCTGAACCGGTTGTTAAAGAGTCGCCACCGCCACCAGAACCGGAGCCTTCCTCGCCACCAGATGGGGAGAAGAGCTCTGACTGGGGTTCGAGTTCGATATGGGGCGCATCTAAGAAAAACAAAAAGATAAAGAGAAAGAAGAATCAATTCGTTGAGCGAGATTCAACTCCCACAGCTCTATCCAAGCCTATAATCGAAGATGCCGCTTCTGTTGGCCAATCCGTCGCTTCTCATTGCGGATCACAAGATCATCCACTCTACCCTATTGTGGATTCTGCGTCAATCCTGGCTTCTACACGCCATAGGGGCCAGGATAAGCCTCTGGATGAAGTCAACCCAGAACACATCATTGAAGAAGATGCCAACAGGAGTCATGTGCCGTATCTAGCCATCGAAGATGCACAGTGGATGTCGAAGGACGCCGCAATTCATGAGTCTTTCTCGCAACGAGCACCGACAATCGACCTTGCTAGTGAACATATTGTCAGACCCGCAACGCATATCAATCCAAATAATTTGGTCATCCCGGTCACGGTCCAGAACAGCCATACCGCTTTCTACTCGCAGTTTTCAATGCCATCACAAATGAAGTGGCCTGACCATAGGACTTCTGTTGGAAATAGAAGCATGGATGTCAACAAGGTTGTCAGCGCAAAACGTTTAAGACGAAGGGATGGCTCGTATTCGATGGAGCTTTACTGCAACGAAGGGCCGTCTTCTACCAAGAAAGATGGCGATTATCAAATGCAGTGGCTGTAAGCGACTGGTGCTCAAACCTAGCGACGATCATCACTAACTCGATATCGCAGGCACCTGCAGACAAATCGCTTGAACCTCACAGAATTTGAGGTTTGTTGACCTACGCTCTCGTTCGATGTTGTGCAAAAGGGCAAAGACAAGGGCAACAGAAGAGCTAACATCTATTACAGGACGCTTGCTTGAGTGCTCCGGGAATCAATGGCAAAACAAAATTCGTATTGCTGACCCTTCTCGAACAGGTCCAAGCTAAACATCAAAAGCAGCTGTTCGATGGGTATCTCATCGAACCTGGTACAGTGCTCCGGTGCGATGGCAATTCTCCTGGTGACGCCGAAGTCATGCAGCCGTCTGCGACCTTTATGTGCTTTCCGTACCTCTCGGTAGATATGCGCAAGCGGACCGTTCATCCGCCTGTGCTTGGCCACCCGACCAGAAGTATACTGCAAACACTCTATCCATACGAATCGACTGCATTCCGTGAGGAACCTCCAAGCTTTTGTAGTGATCAGCCCGCAGCGTCAGATCGGGTTCTTTACGTTCCGCAATGTTGGATCGTGATTCTCAACTCTGGTAAGAATCCAACTGCTGTCTTTGTTTTACAGTCTAATTCTGTTAGATATTGTAATATCGTGCGCTGAGCTCGATAGTAATGACATTACGAAACCAGCGGTTTCGCTCTCGAACCACAAGAAGAAATTACCACTTGTTGAGGAATACCCGATCGAGGACGATGATTCTGATGCTTCGAGCATGACGAACACTTTCGATTCCCCATTGCAGAATGTCGATGCTACCACACCTCACGAAACGACAGATGGAACGATACCACAGCCACATGTTGCAGCTGATGATCTGAATGATCGGGATCGCATATTAACTCAGAACAACTCTTTCAATGTCGCGAAGCCCATCAGAATGCCCCCATCCACTCTAGGAGGTCCCCACGTCGATGCAGATCCCGCGTCCCTTGACACTACCAGTCCTGCCAACGACTTTCACAAAGCGCAATCCGAGGGCTTATCACTCACGATAGAAGAAGCCAGTGAAGTAGAAGAATCTATTCTTGCGGTACTGAATTCGTTGAAGGAGCCTCAAATGACTACTGAGTACCTGGCAAGGTTCAAATTGGAGATCTCTCGTATACTCGGGATATGGAGTCGCGCCCCGCAGAGAGCGCAAAGGCGCGAAGGTAGGATTTTAGAGCGGTTGCAGGACGGTGTAGCTCGTGCGGGACTACTACGCGAAATGTGCGATCTTGAGTCAGAGAGCAGAGAGTTCTCATCAAACCTCACGTACCGCGATGCTATACTTAAAGCACTCGGTATTGAGGACTCATCATTACAGAAAGAGCTGGAAAATCTTGGCGATGTGGTCAAGATTGCTATGACTCTTTTCAAAGGCATTCAAGACACAAATACTGCAAAAGCAACTGGATTTGCAAAGGGAACACTCGAGATCGTCAAGCCGTTCTTGACCTGGGTATTGATCGACGCGGGGATAGACCAGAGGGTCAATGTAGAGCGTGTAGCAGCTGAGTATCTACATGCGATGATGCAAGAGATCGAACAAAGTCTCTGTCAGAGAGATGAGCGTTCTTACACGTCTTCCAGAGAACTCACAATTTCTGATCTAGAGCACTTATTGTCAACTCCAGGCCGAGTCGGGCCATGGGTTGTTACGACGCAGGTATTGTTGTCCGTTGGAACAACGTCGAACAACCAATTGCCCGAGGATCCGGTCCTTCAAGCTCAGAGAAGCGTAGTTCAAACTGCGATTCATGATCTATTTGCACACTTGAAACGTTTTGTTGGACTCTACGTTCCGTGTAATTATTCACACTCGGTGTGTCACAAGATCTGGGGCTCAATGGCACAGCTCAATCATGTACGTAAAGCATCTACGATACTTCCAATCCTTCCATTATTCAATCGCTGCTCATTCCGCCATTATGTAACGCCCAGTCATCTTTTATAACATATCGTCTTTATTCTAGTGCAAGGCACATCTATACTAACGAAGCGAATAGTACGCGACACTTTTCTTCCAGGAAAAACAGAATGGGAGTCCTATTTATCTCATACGTCCTCTCGAAGAGAGTTTTACACAGACTCATAAGATCGGGAGGCCAATTGAACCAATCGAATCTTGTTTCGAGTGCCAAAATGGACGACCGTACAAGTCGCAACAAGACGCTATGAATCACCTCAATCAATTTCACTATAGTAACAGCTCGTTGAGAGATAAACGAACAGTGAGTAGTCATTTTGTGCGTACCGAAATCGCTGTTCGCAACGAGCGAGTCAGCAAGCAGCAACTACAGCTACTGCAAATATGCATAGAACACCTTGAAGAGTTGGTCATACGAGGCGAAAAGCTATATCTAGGGATTGCTGAGGACAAAGGAAAAGACCGCCGGCAATATCAACTACCTGATGGATTGATTGATTGTTTCGAAGATACAGCATTTCTCTTGATGCAAGCTACATCATCTGTCGTTGCTGTAAGAAACGAAGCAGACACATGGAAGAATACTTTCGGTCAAGCAATTGACGATTTGGAGACCCCTTCTTTACAAACCGCACTCGAGAAAACAGGCAAGCTGGCAGAGTCTGGCCGAGCCTCTATGACCAAAGCTGAAAAGGCCTTGATTCTTACAGTAGGCGAAGACATCATGGGCAGTATGGGCAGTACGGGAAATGCAGGACCGGAGTTGCTGGTCTCAGTCCTGCTCCAGAATATTGGAAAAAGAAGTCCTTTAGATGGCGTAGAGATGGATATCAATCAGCTCTATCAGGAGTATACTTCGAAATTGGTAAGTAAAGCATGCCCTAATTGACAACTGCCGACCTGATCATCTCTAACACCTATGGAGTTGATTTGGCTAACACCAACGCTTTAGCAATACCAAATCAACCAGTTCCCTCGCAAACGTCTTCTCAGAACCATCCACAAACTCCAGGAAGAGCTCACTGTAGTTCAGCTCGTGAACTCTTGGCAACAGAAGGCTTTCGATTCCTTACTACAAGTTCTCGACCCACAAACATATATCAAACCTCCGCTCGATCGCGACAGTCTTTACCTACCGGAGTCGGAGTGTATCAATGACAGTCTCAAACTCTTACAAGTCAAAGCTGTGGAGCTCAAAGCTCTCGAGAATCGGACCCAATACCTTCGAGAGCAACTGAAGCAGAGTGTGGAGATTCTCGAGGAAGACCATGGCAAAGCTATCTTGGTGTTCACTATGATCACCACCATCTTCCTCCCCCTGTAAGTGCATTTTATCATGGCATATCGACGCAGGCTAACTTATCCGAGCTCATTTGTTACAAGCTTTTTCGGGATGAACATGTCTGACATTCGCAACACTGATAGCACACAGGCCTTTTTCTGGGCTATAGCCATCCCAGTGACGGCAGGCATTGTCTTCGCTGCAGTGTTTCTAGCATATAGTGGCGATAAGCTGTACGATACCATCGTGCAGACAACACAAGAAGTGAAAGAGCGGTGGAGGGCTAAGAATGTACAGACAGCACTTTCGTATGATGCGGGAACATGGCGGCATATCTCTGCACTTTCTCAATCTTCCTGGATTATGCGCCGGCAGGGTAAACCCAAACTCGCTGGCGTCAAATTGGGAACTCCACAATCGCCTACTGGTCGCCAACCCGCCGTTTGAATTTGAAGTGCACAGCTTTCGCATAGGAACAGAATACTATAGCGCTTTCATCAACCCCTCGTGCTTCACAGTCCAACTCCCATCCTTCGGAAAGCCTGGTGCATCGCCCTCCGATCCCTTCCAGCCCGCTGTACAGTACGCTATCGCGTACAGAAAGCCTGCGTTACCTGGCATGAACGGGGGTGGAGTACCCCCATCTCCACCGCGGATCGCAAAACCCGCATCGTCAAACTTCCAATAGTCATACGCGGTAAGATGGTAAATCGTACGCTCAGGATTACCTATCCGCGCACTATTGATGGCGAGAACAGGACGCCCCCAGCCCCGGATCTTATCATCAGTCCATACTTCCCAGACTTTATCGGCGGTACGAAGGGCAACTTTGGGGTCTACGGCGGGCGTATCGGGGAGGACACCTTGCATCATGATGAGACTGCGAGGATCGCCATTGAGATTGGGATCTTCCCACCAAGAGCTATTGAGTCCGTCATAAACGGTATACAAGCCGTCGATTTGAGGTGGGAGAGCCAGGTTCGTGGCAACGTGAGTCCATTTCTCAGGCACAGGCTGGTGCAGTTTGCGTTTCCACTCGGCGGCAGCATCCAGTCCGTAGCGCCAATACGCAATCTCGTATGCCAGGTTGCGTGTAGAATTTGGTGGTGTGTTCTCGGTCACGCCGTAGGTCGGCGGGCCAAGGTCGTATTTGCCAGTAGTTGCGTTGAGGCCGGGGTAGGATGCCATGTAGTCCGCAGTAGCTGTCAGCACTTTGTCCCACTTCTGAAGTGTCCCTTGTGTCGGATTCGCCTCGTATGCAAGATTTGCGAGATAGAACGGGTGAGGTTGCTGCCATATGAGCTGAGCATTGACATCGCCCGGTGAACTGACACCAGTCTCAAGCTCTGTCATCTTTGGCCATCGCGCACCCTCCCATCCCATGTATCGTGCACGAGCCAGGGATGAAGGGAGAAGTGTCTCGTATAGCTCGGGGAAGATGTTGTCAAAGTACTTCTGGCGACCCCATGTCGCCCAGTGCGCGTTGTGCCAGATTAGCATCTCCATGTGGAACTTTCCATACCAGCCATTGTTCATCAGCCCGCTTTCTTGCGCCGATTGACCTTTAGCCGCGCTATTGACTCGCACATGGTACTGTGACTTGATGATGCGACGCTGGAGTTCAGTTGCGTTTGGATTCGAAGACGAGGTGAGATCAACAAAGCCCCCCTCTTTCCAATACCTATTCCAGCCTTGTACATTCTTTTCCAGTATCTTTTGTGGTAGGCTGGGCACTTTTTGATCAGGTGAGAAATGGGCAGTGAAAGCGATTGAAGAGCCCGCAGACACCGTACCCAAGGTGTATCGGTGTGCTGTAACAGATGTTGAGTTCGAGGGCTCATTCCGGGTCAACTTAAGAGGTGATCCTTTTGGCCATCGTAGGTTAGCAAAGTACCGCACTTCTTGCAAGTCATGCTGAATATGTGCTGACGTGCGATCAGTTCCATCCTCCACCAGTATAGTGCTGTGATTGAGAGGGAAGTCGTATACTCCCGCAAAGACCTACGAGAGCTGTTAGTGTGTGTCTGGACCCCCACGAAGAGGGTAGATTGACACATACCTCATATTTGTACTTGGTACTATGTATCGGCGGATACGGAAAGTCCATCTCTACCTGAAGATCTCCAGTCCGAATAAGTTTAGATTCAATGATGAAAGCCACAGCATCAGATTCAAAGTCGCCTTGTGTCAATACTTTAACGTCTTCGCCGTTGACTTTGAAAATTGATGTGATGGTGCCGTCCCACAACTCTAGTTCTTGTGTGGTGTCTGTGATGGAAGACTCGTTGAGTGTATCTCCTTGATAGCGGAGGCCGATGCGACCCAGGTTCAGTCGGTTTGGGTTACTAGTCAGCCATTGAGTTGCTTGCTTAAGCTTAGGGTCTGGGATGTCGTAGTAGACTTCACGCCCATATGTCTCGCGCATGACGCCCTTGTAGTCTGACGGTGATTCCCTGTATGTGTTGGTTAATGTTCAATGGCACGGCTTTGAGTTCATACCCATTCACAGGGAGCGAGTCGTTATGCCAGGCCCAGCTGGATAACGTGTTGAATGGCAAGTATGTCTGCCTTGCAAGTTAATCAGGTGGTAGTAGCGGTAGCCAAACAAATGTACCTGCATCCCTGTGGTGTCGACATTGAAGGCAAAGTTGCCATTGCCAACCTGGAGTGGTGTTGTCTCATTGTCAATGAGGTTGGACCGCACGATATTGAACTGTGAGACCACGGAATGCCTGCTGAATTAGAAATGTATCTGCAGGACGGTTGGTGTATCAACCTATCGATATTGCCGTAGACCGCACCTACCAGCAGTAGGGCGCAATACGCTCGTACGCCGTGGGAGCGCATCTTTGCTGTAGACGCTTTCTATGGTATGGGTGTAGTGAGAGCTACGGCGTACTCGCAGGGGCATTTGTACCTGATGGCGAGACAGCATGTAGGATTGGATCAGCAGATGATCCCATGCCCGTGGGGCACCTTTTTCCGGGGTAAATGTACACCGAGAAGGATCCCCAGGACTATCATGGTTCGTGTTCGGTTAGCGATTGACTGACCCCAACCCTCCCCGCCTTTCGCGAAGCTTGATTAATTCCTCCAGTGGCGCAGGTCCGGAACTTCAGAACCTCGCGACTAGTAGAGGGGCATTTCTAATGATAGAGCGCAGCTCGACCTACACGTCTCAGTTTATCTGAAGTTAACTTGCGAAAGACGAATGAAGATATGGAAATGCAATCGCAATATTCCACAAAGACATTAGGAACGACCTGGCACAAAGCGAGGTCAATGTCTACGAAATCTCTGCGAAGAACCTTAGTTGCGAACTACCGAGTACCTGCGTCAACGGAAGAACCGGTGGAGAGGTTTTTGAAGCGATACCTTATCCCCCAGTGTATGTGAACGAGCGTTTGACGTTGCAGAGATGCTATAGTGGTGGTGCGCAAGGGACCGCCACGAATTCGGCACGGAACCATAGCCGTCAATTACGTCATCGCCCCCCAAAACCTCGATAGCTAGTTCGGCGAGGCATCTAACACATCAGCAAAGCTATCAATCGAGACCGCCTTCTCTTCGCTTAGTCTATCTAATAACAAGGTGCCTGCTTGCGAGAAGTTTTCTTCTCATAAACTGTGGACCGCGAATGTTCGATACGCCTAGGCGTCATCATACGCGTATCGAACGCTAATCGCATTCGTAAAGCTTTCGGCTTGTGCTAAGATCATGGCTAAGTAAGGCAACTCAATGAGATTAAGGATATACTGAGACGCATACGAGCTATATAAGCTCTCTAGAATCAAAGTACTTCTAATAAATTGTGTTCGTCTCTCAAACATCTACATCACCACAATCACATCACTATGATCTCGGCACGCGCCTTGTTCCTATCTGCCCCTTTTGCTGCATGTCTGATCTCAGCAGAGTCAGACTGCCGTTGTGGCGCCCCGGCCTTTCTCGCGATCCCTCGTATCAGCCTTCCTGTACCGGAACAGATCAGACCATGCCCTGCATACAGAAGGTTTGTTGTACCAAAATTGCTCAAAAGATCCGTACTAATACCAATTTCAGAGATAATTGATGCCCGTGGATCAGACGAGCCACAGGGCGTGTCACTGATGTTTCAGAACGTCATCTCCAATCTTCTTGTCAACAGCACCGATACTGCCTATCAGGCTGTGGTGTACCCAGCTGATTTCGACCAGAACGTAGCCTCGAGCGTTCAGAATCTCCTTGACCTCGTCGAGTATGGTCTGCAAGACTGTCCGAGCTAAAAATATTTCTTGTTTGGATATTCGCAGGGTGCCACTGTATTGCAGCAAGCACTAGCTCAGTTGAACAACAAGACCTTGGATAGTGTTCAGAGTGTCGTCATGGTCGGCAATCCGTATCGATTGCCCGGCAGAGTGGCGAACGTCGATAGCCAGGGCCGACCCGACAACCGCACTGCGTATGGAGTCTTCGCTGTTCAGGCTATCGAAAGCAACGGCACTATGATTTCTTACAACGACGATTTAGGAATGACTGGCAAGGTCCAAGACATTTGTCTCGAAGTAAGTACCTTGCACTGTCTCTAGATCCCATATCTAACACGCATAGAATGATATTGTATGCGCATTTGATCCCGAGTGCGAGTGCCAGCTTGCGAGCGATCACCTCTCGTATGGTCTATCGAAATCTGTTCAGGATCAAATCCTTGATCATGTTATTTCTCGGTTCTAGCACAGTACAGGAAGCGTGATGCGTGGTATCAAAGGCAGCAGCATCACAAATCTACGTGTTGTGTTGTCTTCGCTCGTTCCTTTACAGATCTCCTTTTCGAACAAATCTGCTGTAATTTACACATTCTACCTCAAGTAATCGTAGTCCCCAATTGTTGTCTCACAAATGGTTAGTAGGCAGTACACAATGTGGTACCGTCTCATATGCCATTTTTCTGAAGGGCAGGCTAATGAACAAGAACTTGTAGCCATGAGATCCGCAGAACGTAAATTGCTATCTCGTTTCCGAAGTAGTAGACCGCTGAGCATGAGGATGATTTCGAGGCGTACTGACCGGAGACGCTCTTAGAGACGGTCACAAAGTACCTAGACCAAGGATGCATAGTCTATCTCAATGCAATACAAGATTGCTTCACGGCTAGAAAGCAAGGGACTACATGTAGGCGTATCTGTACACTCGATGCACAGATTCGCGCATGTCGCCGCTACGCCGCGATGAGAGGTGAAGGTGAACATGCGACGCGCTTCAACAAGAACTTCGCACACAACGCGAAAAAATTGCCTTTGTAATACCTCTCCCAAGCTTAGCGCTCAGGTTTTGCCCACTCCACCTGATGGCGAGCTCAGAGATGATCGCCGAACTGGCAGCGCGACTCCGTCACCTCGCCGATGGCATATCAACCGACTGCATCGAAGACACTCGTGAAGAGTCCAGGAATGCACTTCGTACGGCTGCAATGGAGTTGGAGCAAGGTGTCGTCAAGAGGCACTCACAGGATGACTCTTATGTACTGGTGCTGGTTGATGCGCATAGCCACCCGGTAGGTTATCACGATGTTAGGCCTGGTAATATGTGCTAACACCACCTTTAGTTCAACGATGAGATCCTCTATCGATCCACCGACCTGAGCTACCCCGCCTTAGACCGCGACAACCCATTTAACATCAAGAAGCGACTTTACGAATCGATTCGGAAGCACTTGATCGATATATCCTCCACAGCTTCTCCTCACACAAACACTCAGGGCCACTCAATTCAGGTTTCCTCTGTAGCGACACTTGGCAATTTTCGGATCGTGGTGCGTGTCTACGCCGACACTACGAAGATAAAGAACGATCTGCTATGCCCTTTGCAGCAGTTTGCTGCTCAATTCTCCTCTGTGGATTGTGGCTTCGACCTTGTCCGCGTTAGAACTGAGGCTATAGTGGAGCTCAAGGTCGTTGGTGAGTGAAGACATCCTTTACCCACTGAGCTTGCCCTGAAGATCAGCGCTGTAACAATTATAAAGTTTGCAATAAAGACAATCATATGAATCATCAACCCAAGATTTATAGTTGGGCTCAACGCTGACCTTCTTAGATACTTTTCAGGCAGCTCGCAAAGATCCAGATTGCAAGCATGTCTTCCTCGCCGCTTGGAATCGTCCAGTCTACATTTCGATGCTACAAGCACCCCCCAAGAACGTCACGCTAGTCCAAGGGAATGGCATGGGAGCGGGTGCTAGATTCTTCTCTCTGACATGCGCTGTGATTAGCATCCCAGCGGTATTCAGAGAGCCTGCGGAACAAGACCTCTTCTTGTCACTCACATCACGCTCAGCTGAGAAGCACATCATCACCGCAATAGTCAGCGACAAGGCCTCCTGCAAGGATGGTCACTGCGGGCTTCCACATACTACCACGAACCCTAACGACATGAGTAAGAAGATTGTGACAAGATCATCCACAAACACTTCTCGTAAGCCAGGATCCTTACCACTGGTCCACGAAGCAATTCCCGGTCATATACCTGTCAACGCGAAGGGGCAATGTCTTGACTACTACACCCAAAGGCCTTCTACTTCTGCTTGGCAGGCTTATTTGCAGAAAATCGGAAATGGTGACCAGCCTTGTCGATGGTTTCATTTAGCGAACGTATGCCACTTTCGAGATGGTTGCTCTCACGATCACTCAGCTATCAGCGCTCAAGTCCTAAAGGCATTTCGTTATACTATCAGGCGAATTCCATGCGATAGGGGGAGCCATTGCCGTCTCATCGACTGCATCTATGGCCATGTCTGCCAAGAACCTAACTGCATCACAGACGACTTGAAATCTTGCAGCATGAGGAGGTTCCATGCCGTGGATCTCGCCTTTGCATCGTGGAGTAGAGGTAGGCATGCTCCTGAATTCCCTACTGGAGGTCCGACTCAGTTGCCGGAGGATGATGTGAAGGAAGCTTCAGCTGAGTCATTTTGGTTCTAGAGCTACGAGTTTGACATCAGTGGCCGGAAGCTGGAAGAGGGTAGCATAGCCAAGGTGGCTCTGGACGTCGCATTGCAGCGCGTATCTCTACGAGCTCATTATGCTGCAAGTAACATCCCGTAGAATTCCGTTGAGAATCTCGCGGGCGCCGAAACACTTAGGAATGGACGTGAATGCTGCGATCTATTCTATTCTGTAAACGAGCAAGGTGTCTCATAGGGACAGGCGATCAATTCTTGGCAGACCATAGATCAACAAGCAACAAGCAGGACACGATAAGTGCCGAAAGGCAATGATAGGATGCCATTATCGCGTATAATGACCATGGAACGGATACTAGGCAGGTATCGCTCACGAGACACGCGACCAAACATTGCACCAGTCTCTGCGGTGCTATCGTTAGACTACATCTACGTCCCAACTGTCCGACCACGATTCCTTTAGCAAGGCCTTCACACTCCTTGTGGCGATGTGTGGAAACTTCTCGTTCAAGCTTCCTTCATGCTTGGAAGTTGAAGAAGCCGTTCTCAAACAGTACACCAAATGTCGCACATATACGCTCGAGCTTCTCTTGCGGGAGATACGGGTACAGTTGTCTCTGGCTGGGCAGTGCTGTTGAGCGACCCTTTTGTAAAGTTGTCCACGAGTCGTGCTTGGATTCCAACTTGGTACCCTTTGTCTCCTCGGCCACGATGAGAAACTCATTCCACGTCATCTTGTCGCCGATGATGACCGATTCTTTCTCCCACATGGCAGATGATAGCAATGCAGCGATAAAACGCCCCACGTCAAAGCTATAGCTGAAGACAACGGGCACATCTCCAGATCCGGGAATAGCGGCAGCGTTTCCAGCCATGTCGATCACACGGGGTAAATTTCCGAGATAGGACTTTACCTTCGGAAACCCGTAGTAGTCTAGGAAAATACCGTTCGACACTGCAGTGTACTCCAAAGAGGTGCTCGCAAGGATGTCGAGATAGCCGCTCTTCGCGCTCATCGTGGGGGGGATGGCCACGGCTCTGGGAACTGAACATTCGGCTCCACTTTCGAGGCTACCAAGTAGGAATACTTACTCTGGCGAACAGGGTATTCTCCAAATACTGGGGATGTATCGTGTAGTCTTTTTAGAGCTCTCCGCTGCTTTGGTAAGTGCGATTTCGGAGTCTGTGCCGAACGTAGAGCCCAAGGTGGAGATGACGGTGTCGACGTCGTTGGTCTCGAGTTGCTTGACGATACTATTGACATTGTCGTAATCGGTAGCTAGTATACTGGCTCCAAGTACATTTGAGATTTGCACGTCAGACTTAAGGTCACAGTTAGGGGCATCTGAGCTACAGCGCTGCGGAAAGGATACTTATCTTGCAGCTGAGAATGAAAACCTTATAGCCTCCGTGGGTGATACGCTCTTCGACGATAGCGCGACCAAGCTTGCCTGTACCGCCAAAAACTGCGATAGTGCGAGAACTCATGTCTCTTTTGTTTTCAGCGAGAAGTATCGCGCAGTCAATCTAGCCTTGCGCTACAATGTGGGGTGGAAAACCGGCTCAACTCTGTGCCTGTAAATTGTTTAGCAATGAGAGACGAAAATATTTAAGTATAGCACAGGCGCGCTATATAGTTACATCACATCAACAGACACGATGCCGTCAACTTTGGATTGTTGAAATGGTCACGCAACATCACTCTTCTCATCGCCCGACGACCGAGACCTGCTGATGAACCAGGAAATGCACGCATTGGTCAGCTCTCGCGCTGAAAGATATTTAATGCCGACAGTCTTTGAGATCAGTCTAGTGAACTGAAGTTCAGTTAAGTCTCGGCGTTGTCGTTGTTACAATGGTGATAGTGACTATGTAATCAGGGATGGGTACAGAAGTCCAGGGTACATAGCAGCTAGACCAAACGCGGTCTAGTGGAAGTGCAACCGCAGCCGGAACTTTTATTTCCACGGGTGCGTGGCCTCCGCAGCCCACAGACTAGTTACACTCAGCAGTCAGAACATCCTCACAGCTTATCATCGCTTGTACAGTCGCCACCCACTTAGACAGGATATATTCGCCACGATGCGATAACGTTCATGGACCTGCCCACAATCACTCCGAGGCGCGACACGTTCGCGTTTTCGTTGTGTGCGACAACGTTATCTAAGAGCAGTGGTTTGTCAGCCATTTTCATTGGCAGGGCGTTACTCTGCGCCAGCCTTGGCTCGTTGTGACTCGCCCAATCGGATAACGCTGCGCCGAACCAGACTAGTCCATACACCGATCGGTCAACATGACAAGTTGCTGACTGGCTCTTAGTCTGGTTTCGATCGTCGCGCAACTAGCTTTTGTCCGAGACCGAGCAGGGCGAAAGTTGGGTAATCGGGTGGGCAATCATCGTTGCTGTCCGAAAGCCACAGCATGGAGTTGCGTTGTCAGCTCGGTGCATTCACTATGTTAAGGCGCATGTAGCAATTCTTGTTAAATATCCCACGTCGGGATCGCTGGAAAACATTCAGTATCTCAAGCATCAACACTCTTCAAGTCACACTTCATACCATCTGCAATACAAATCCATTGTCGCAACCAAGCAACTCAATATCGCATTCAGACAAACCATCAAAATGTCCTCCAAGAAGATTATCACTGTTCTAGGCGCCACGGGCAACCAAGGTGGTTCTGTCATCACAGCTCTTCTTGCCCATCCCGAGATTGCCTCCCAGTACTCCATCCGTGGTATCACGCGCGACACTACGAAGCCCTCAGCCCAAAAACTCATGGCTAAGGGAGTGCAGCCCGTCAAAGCCGATCTCAATGACCCTTCGTCCCTTCAAGCGGCATTTCATGGTGCCTTCGCCGCTTTTGCCGTCACCAACTATTGGGAGACAATGTCCAAGTCGACGGAGATCACCCAGGGAAAGAACATTGTCGACGCCGCCATCGCTACCGGAGTCAAACACCTCATTCTCTCGTCACTTCCCAACGTCACAGCCCTAACAAACGGTGCTCTCACCAACGTCGAGCATTTTGATTCCAAAGCCGAAGTCTCTGATTACGCGGAGACCCAGAAGAAGAAGACGGGCATGTGGGTCACACACTTCATGCCTGGGTATTTTATGCAGAACCTCAAGAGCACCATCAACAAGGATCCGGCCACTGGCGTTTCCATGATGACACTCCCTTGGGACGCTACTAGTACACACATTCCACTCATCGACATCGTTTCCGATGCTGGCAAGTACGTTGCTGGTGCCCTGGTCCTCGGGGCTGATGCCGATGGTGCTAGAATCCAAGCTGTTTCGCAATGGGTCACTCCAAACGAAGTGGCTGCCACTGTATCCAAGGTCACTGGCGACAATGTGACCTTTATGGAGGTACCCAGAGACGTATGGGAAGGGTACCTACCGCTTCCTCCTCTTGCGAAGACTGAACTTGGAGAGAACATGACCTTGATCAAGGACTACAGCAGAGTTGCTATCAGTCAATCAGTCAGTTGTCAGTTCATCTTTGCGGTTCAAACTGTCAGTCTGGAGGTAGTGAACTGACCTGATTGACTGCCAAGACATTTTTTAGAATCGCGAACTGAGAC